CCGGCCGGTTGGTGGCGCCGATGATGAACACCGTCTTCTTGGCGCTCATGCCGTCCATCTCGGTGAGCAGCTGGTTGAGGACCCTGTCCACCGCGCCGCCGGCGTCGCCCACGTGGCTGCCCCTCTGCGTGGCGATGGAATCCAGCTCGTCTAAAGATTTGTATAATTTGATATGATGATGATGTGGGATGCGCCAGCTTTTTTTTTTTTTTTGAAAGACGCCTATCACAGGGTCGATGACCTGTTTCCAGACGCCTATCACAGGGTCGATGACCTGTTTCCCCACTGCCATTTAACATGTTGAGCATCTGTCACTCAATATCATTTTTGGTAGTTGTACACAACACGTTTAAATTTCAACTATCTTTTGGTGGTGGTACACAACATATTCAAATTTCAAATATTTTTTCTCGTTGCAACGCGCTGGTACGATCCTAGTAAATAAAGATGGAAGAACAGGCGGCACATACTACAGAGCTTGCTTATTACTGTAATCAATTCACGTTAATCACAATACCAACTGCACGCGGCAATAATGCATGTCGATTCGAGGGGAGAGGGAGACTATGCCGGGCACTTGGGATTGCATCTAAGGCCTTGTTTAGTTTACATCAAAATTCCAAGTTTTTTCACTCTCTCTCCATCATATCAATTTTTGGACGTTTGCATGGAGTATTAAATATAGGTAAAAAAAAAAACTAATTACACAGTTTAGTTGAAAATCACGAGATGAATCTTTTGAGCCTAGTTGGTCCACGATTAGACAATATTTACCAAATAAGACGAAAGTGCTACTATTCATCGGGTTGAAATTATTCACAATCTAAACAAGGCCTAAGGCACGCCGCCCTGCACTTGCTCTGCTTCAAGTAGCACTTGTTTGTCGTTAGGCAACAGTAGCATTTAGGTACCTCCGAACCACAGCCGTACCTCTTTTCGCAAAATACCAGCGTCACCTTGCTCTCATCTAGCGCTGTAGCGTCACTCCTTGTCCTTGCAGTTTTGACCTCGAGCAGGTGAGGACGACCAGCTGCATCAGCAAGATTTGTTCATCCAGCATGTAGTGTATTATTATACACGCACAGACAATGAAATATATAAAAATAAGAGATGGTTAGATGTTACTTACACAGTGCTGGTTAGATGTTACTTACACAGTACTGTCGTCGACGATGCAGCGAGGAACAAGATGATCATCGTGCACCCCAAACCTCCACATCTGTCGTTCATATTGGATTGTGAATCGTACGTAGTCAGGCTGCAAGGGGAGGAGATGGCCGCACAGAAGGAAATCATTATTTATTTACAAATGAAACGTACACGTGGGTTGCCGTTTCGAGCTCTGAATTTTACGAAACGGAAATTATTTATTTAAAATGAAATAAATGCTCTGAATTTTACGTAACGGAAATAATTTATTTACAATGAAATAAATGCTCTGAATTTTATGTAACGGAAATGATTTATTTACAATGAAATAAATGCTTTACATTGTAATGAATAATGTATATGCAGTGTTTGATTGCATGGACCGAGTTGGATAGGGATATCAAAAAGAAAGAATATTCTTATAAGATGTTGGAGCAAACGGACACCAAAATTGGATTTGCTCATCCAACTTGGATCCGTGGCTGTTGCTGACATGGCAACAGTAATTAACGAATGCAAACAACCTTCAAACAATTTTATTTGCTAAAACGTTTATCTGATTTATGATATGATTACATAGTTGTATTTGTTGCGATTAAATCTACAAAACAAGATCTCACACGATTATATTTTGGTTAAAATTAAATAAATGAAAAGTGGGTCCTGCATGATATCATCAACTTATCAATCCTTATCTATCAACCAAATAGAAAGATAGCGCGTCCCGTCTCGTCCCATCCGACAAATATCCATCCAATCAAACAAAAAATAGCTTATCCTTTCTATTCAACTAAACAGCAAGTATGGATAACCATATCAAGAAATCCATGGATGACCCTATCACATCCATCATTGTCCTCCAAACACACTCTAACGGGACAGAAATGGGTCCTTGAAGCTTCAACGTCACATCAGAAACACATGTGCAAACTCTGAATTTTACGTAATGGAAATTATTTAAGGGACAATTGTCTGTTGACCATTCAAAATGATGGTCCTTTGCTGACGGACACCCACTTTTGAGCATTTTGCCAGAAGACACTCTGGTTCGGTGAAATTAGGCCACAGGACACCGCGGACCGGTTGCAGCCGGTTGAAGAGAGAGAACAATGGTGAAATGACATCATTGCCCTTGCCGTTTTCTTCTTCCTCTCTCCCTTTCTCTTTTTTCTGTTTCCAGCTCCGCGGCAATCACCGCAACCGGTGCCTCTCACTTCGGTGTCTCGCCGAGCTTAATGCCGAGCGCACCACGCGCTGGTGGCCACGCGAACCGAGGACGTGAAGCAGGGATTCCTACCGACTGCTCCCCGGCCAACCCCGCACGGTGCAGAGCGCCTCTGGCACCAAGGACGAGCTGTCCCTCGATGGCCCACTGCGCACGCTGCGGGCGCACCACGAGGCGATGGAGAGCAACTGCCTCGAGCCGTTCAAGGCGCTGCTGCGTGACCTGCTCAGCAGGCCCGGCGTGCCGCCGGTCAGCTGCGTCGTGGCCGACACCCCGATGTCGTTCGCTGCCGTGGCGACGCGAGAGGTCGGCGTCCCGGACGTGCCGCTGGACTGGGTGCTTGGGATGAAACAGTGCGCCGCCGGAGCCACCGTGCCCGTGGCTGCCCGTGCCCGGCGGCCGTGCTCGTGCGTGCGCCACTGCGGCCGCTCCAGCTCGTGCGCGCCCCGGCTGCAGCGGTTCCCCGTGCCCCGACGGCCCATCCCCCGCATCCCACCGGCGCGCCGCGGGAAGGAGGAAGAGGAACCCGCGGTGGCGTTCCTGATGATGGACGCCAAGGTGCCTGGCCACGTGCTTGCCTCAAGGCCCGCTCCTGTCCTTACTGCCTGGGCATGCGCCCATGCTTGTCGTGCCTTACCGCGACGCCTTGCCCACGCGTGCTCGATCGCTTTCGCCAGCCACCGCATTGTTTGCGCCGCCACCACGTGCTTTCGCCACACGGACGCCGCCACCCGAAACTATATGGGCGCATGGCGATGGAGAGGGTGCGCTGCGCCGCCGCGACCTCTCGTCCTTTTTCCGTGCGAGGCTGTGAGCACGGGGGAGCCCGGCATGGCGGCGCTAGAGGAGCACGAGCACACCAGCAGCAGCCTCCCCGACCATGGGCACGCGGCGACCTGCTTGCCGCGGAGTAGGAAACAGAAAAAAAGAAAGGGAGAGAGGAAGAAGAAAACGACAGGGGCAAGAATGTCTTTTCACTGCTGTTCTCTCTCCTCAACCGGCTGCAACCGGTCCGCGGTGTCCTATGTCCTAATTTCACCGAACCAGAGTGTCTTCTGGCAAAATGCTCAAAGGTGGGTGTCCGCCAGCGAAGAACCATTACTTTGGATGTCCAACAGACAATTGTCCCATTATTTAATTACAAGAAATAAATGCTCCACATTGTAATGAAAAACGACACCACTAACATCAATGTGTTACAAAAAAAAAAGCCGAAAATAATACTACAAAGAGTAGAAGAAAATGAGCTGTAAAGATCATCGTCCTCATCGTTGGCATTGGGCGCCGCATCTGCTTCTGCCACCTGCTAGGGCCGCTTGGGGAACTGGAACTCGCTGTCGAATCCCCTCGATTGCTGCAGCATCAACGCGAACACCTGGTACTTGCGGATGTCTGCGGCCGCGGAGCTTCAACAAGACCCTACCACACTCGCGGCGGCCTCTTTCTTCCCCTCTCCCCTCCCACAGGAGGCCCCCACCATGGCCATCGTCACCCCCTCCCTGGCCTGGCCCAGCTGCTTCCGCCACCGCAAGAACCCTAATGCAGCCCTCTCGCCGTCCGCACTGCTTGGACGGCCTGCCTCCCTCGAGCCCCATCTCTTCTAAGCCCACCAGAGTTGGGGAAGAAGAGAGGGAGAGAGGGCACGGGCGTGGAGGCCGATGGTGGAGGGAGCGGCGGAGGAAGAAGAAGGGCGCGGTGAGGAGGCGAGCGCGATGAAGACGGGTCGCACGCTCGCTTATTAGACTTTGCGAAATATAAACTAAACAAGTCCATGACACTTGAGAATCCAAAAGTAACACAAATCAAATAAGGATGGGAGAACGAGCGGCACATATATTACGGAGCTTGCTTGCTTATTATTCTACTGTAATCATTCACATTTTGATCACAATACCGATGCATATGCAATGGTTGATTCGAGGGGAGAGGGAGACTGTGCCGGGCACTTGAGATTGCAACGTGGGCACGCCGCCCTGCACTCACTCCACGTATTGTAGCACAACCGTTTCGGCAGGTAACAATAGCAGTCATGTGGCTCCGTATAACAGTACCTCTTTTCACAAAATACCAGCGTGACCTTGCTCTCATCTGTCGTTGCAGTTCTGACCTCGACCAGGCGAGGACGACCGGCTGCATCGGGAAGATTTGTTCATCAGCACGTAGTGTGTATTATACACACACACAGACAATTATATAAAGATAAACATAAGAGATGGTCGGATGTAACATACACAGTACCGTCGGCCATGCAGCGACCCGAACCCCCACACCTGTCATTCGTATTGGATCGTCGTGATTCGTGAATGGTACAGAGTCAACCTGCAAGGGGAGCTAGCATTCATATTGGGTGAGTTTATATACAGACGGTACATAGTGCTCAAAAAAAGAAAACGTCGCCTAATTGCAATCATGACTTCCTTAATTGCCGCGTGGTTTTCTTTCTTTTTACTACAATGAGAAAACGTCGCCTGCACGCGTTTCAAAAATAACGAGGGATCCTGATAACTCGCCAGCATCTGCATGGCAGTTTTACATTATTAATTAACTCAACGGAAATGGGTCCTTGAAGCTTCAGCGTCAGATCAGAAAAACGAAAATACTAAGCTGAACCTCCACTATACAAGGATCAGCTGTAAAGATCATCCACCTCGGCGTCGGCATTGGCCGCCGCCTCTGCTTCTGCCGCCTGCTGGGTCCGCTTGGGGAAGCGGAACTCGCTGCCGAATCCCCTCGACTGCTGCAGCGTCTGCGCGAACGCCTGGTACTTTCGGATGTCAGCGTCGCTGACGCTCCTCCGCGCGTGCCTCATGGACTCCTCGAAGTGCGCGGCCCCGATCTGCGCCGGCTCGTCGGCGCAGTCCACCTCCATATCCCCTGGCTTCTCCTTGGCCTTCCTCTCTCGCTCGATGTCCTTTTCAATGTCCTCCCGGATGGCGTACTTGCACGCCCTCTGGCAGATCTCCGTGATGTCCGCGCCGCTGAACCCCGCCGTGAACCTGGCCAGCGCGCCGAGGTCGACGTTCTTGGCCACGGCCCACGGGGGACTTCCTGAGGCAGGCCTTGAAGATCTGGTGCCGCGAGGCCTCGTCTGGCAGGGGAATGTAGATGAGCTGGTCGAGGCGGCCGGGCCGGAGCAGCGCCGGGTCGATGATGTCCGGCCGGTTGGTGGCGCCGATGATGAACACCGTCTTCTTGGCGCTCATGCCGTCCATCTCGGTGAGCAGCTGGTTGAGGACCCTGTCCACCGCGCCGCCGGCGTCGCCCACGTGGCTGCCCCTCTGCGTGGCGATGGAATCCAGCTCGTCGAAGAAGAGGACGCACGGCGCCGACTGCCGCGCCTTGTCGAATATGTCTCGGACGTTGGCCTCGCTCTCGCCGAACCACATGGTCAGCAGCTCCGGCCCCTTGACGCTGATTAAGTTGGCCTGGCACTCGTTGGCGATCGCCTTGGCGAGCAGCGTCTTGCCGCAGCCCGGCGGCCCGTAGAACAGCACGCCCCTGGACGGAGACATGCCGAACTTCTCGAACTTGTCCGGGTGCTCCACGGGGTACTGCACGGTCTCCTGCAGCTCCCGCTTGACGTCCTCGAGGCCTCCGATGTCCGCCCAGCTGACGTTGGGCACCTCAACCACGGTCTCGCGCAACGCCGACGGGTTGGTGCCTGCGAGGGCGGTCTTGAGGTGGTCGTTCGTGATGGCCATCGAGCTGAGGATCTCCGCGTCGATCGTCTCGTCCTCGAGGTCGATAACGTCCATCTTCTCCCTGATACATTGAAGGGCGACCTCGGTGCAGAGCGCGGCCAGGTCGGCGCCGACGTAGCCGTGCGTATCCTTGGCCACGGCCTCCAGGTCGACGTCCTCGGCGAGCTTCATATTTTTAGTGTGCACGCGCAGCACCTCGAGGCGGCCGACCTCGTCTGGCACGCCGATATCAATCTCGCGGTCGAACCGACCAAACCGTCGCAGTGCAGGGTCGATACTGTTGGGGCGGTTGGTGGCGCCCATGACGATGACGTGCGAGCGTGTTTTCAGCCCGTCCATGAGCGTGAGCAGCTGGGACACGATGCGCCTCTCCACCTCGCCGTGCGTCTTTTCCCTCTTGGGCGCAATGGAGTCGATCTCGTCGATGAAGACGATGGACGGCGCGTTCTTCTCCGCCTCCTGGAATGCTTTTCGCAGATTGCTCTCGCTCTCCCCGGCCAGCTTCGACATAATCTCGGGGCCGTTTATGCAGAAGAAGAAGGCGCCGGTTTCGTTTGCCACCGCCCGCGCGATCAGAGTTTTGCCGGAGCCTGGAGGTCCGTACAATAGGATACCCTTGGGCGGCTTCACTCCGATCGACTTGAACAGCTGCGGGTGCCTAAGTGGCAGCTCGACCAGCTCCCTGATCTGAGCGAGCTGCTTCCGCATGCCACCGACGTCATCGTAGCCCACGCCATCGAGCCTCTCCTCGTCTTCCCGCTTCACGGGCTCGCCGTCGCAGAAGACCTCCGTGTCGTCGGCGACAATGCAGTACTCGGCGGGCGGGTGGATGTCCACCACCTTGAATTCCACGCTGCGCATCCCGCCGCGCACGAGGAAGAGGTCGCCCTTGCGGACGGGGCGGTAGGCGTTGAGGAAGTGCGGCCTCAGGTAGGCCTCGAAGAGGTCCCCCGTGAGGCCCTCCACGGTGTCGTCGAGGGGCAGGACGTGCACTTTGGCCCCGAACGCGGCGTCGCGGCACGGGTGCACGGACACGACGTCGCCGAGGCGCACCCGGAGGTTGGAGCGGACGGACCGGTTGATGCCGAGCGCGTGCTCCCCGCACCCCTCGTCGGCCATGGCGATGCAGACCGTGTCGCGACGCCGCTTCCCCTTGAGCAGGACCACGTCGCCGCGGAAGATGGACAGCTTCTCCATGGTCGTCGGGTGGAGGTTGCAGATGGAGACGTCGTCGTCGGTCGGCTCCTCCACCACCAGCTTGTTCGCCGCCTTCTTCTTCGTGGCGGCGGGAGGACAGCACGCCGCTGCGCCGTCGTCCGACATCGTGCCGGGCTGTCTTTCTCGAGAACGGGTGGTGGTGTGGTGTGTCTGGTGGTGTCTTGGTTCGCTTCGGCTTCGCCTCTGGCCTCTCGCGTCTCGCGGCGGCGGGAAAGCAGTTTGCGTTTGCGTTTCGATGGAATCGTGGGGGAGAAAGGCCGCGGGCTCGGTCCAGATATATATAGGGAGCGGGCGGGCGTGGTTCCTCCTCGCACGGTAGTCGAGTCCGATGCTGGAGACGTTCGCTGGGGCTTGCGTTGCAGCTGAGCCCGATGGAGTCCGATTCCGTCTCCTTCCTACTGGCAGCCCAATTTGGACTCCTGGAGTTTCTGGAGCTTTTACTTTTATAATATTATTACATTTTTAATTCGTTTTTTGCAAAAAAAATATTTGTCTAAATAAAAATTACAGAACTATGCTACTGCCGCTGATTTTTGCCACATCATCTATTATTAAAATATTTGGACTCCTAAGCGATCTGAAAAAAACCAGCTAATATGTTTTAGATCTCGTCGAGCTCACAAATTTTGTATAGTCTCCATCTGAGGCCATTCAAAATTTTTAATTTCATAATATGACAATTTAAAATCAATATTTCGCTTTAAACAGTGTCAAATAAAAATGGGCATGTTTGCTGCATATGGATTTAAGCCACAGCAGCTGTTGGCACAGTGCTTCGCTGAGAAGAAAAATAGCAAAAGCTATAGCCACAACCACTCCTTCATACCTAGCGAACAGTCCCAATGTCATCAACTACAAAATTATAGATTGTATCGAGATTTATAACTTTCGCATAGATAATATCAACATCTGAGGTTACTTGAAAAAAAATGGAAATTTGAATTTCAAAATATGACAACTTCAAACGAATATTTAGGCCTCTAAACAATCTCAGATAAAAAGAACTTAACTACAATGACAACTACAACTTTAGCAACATATGCTATGTCAACATCCAAGGTAGTTTGTGAAAGGACTGAGTTGATGCCCACAGGGGATGAATAGGCTCTACAAAAAATCTCAAACCAATTAGCTATTTAAAACAGCACGAATGTTAACGCTGTGCCAAAACCTTCCTGGAATCCAAATGGCCTGTGTAAATCGGTCTAGGCCGGTTTCCCAAACCAGAGTGGACCGTTTTTTTTTGATCCTGTATAAAAATATATAAATTATATTAACTTAAATATAAATATAAATATAAATATAAATATAAATATAAATATAAATATAAATATAAATATAAATATAAATATAAATATAAATATAAATATAAATATAAATATAAATATAAATATAAATATAAATATAAATATAAATATAAATATAAATATAAATATAAATATAAATATAAATATAAATATAAATATAAATATAATATATAATATATAAATATAAATATAAGAGTGAGGCAAACCAACAAATGTGACGCGGAGATACACTGCAGCAGGATCAAGATGCAACCATTCACAAGCGCTCAGGCAGATGAAACTTTGGACAAGCCCTCGTGAACACTTACCCCGCAAAGGGCCGCTTTCGTTTTAGGCCCTGTGGGCTTGTGGGCTGTGGCCTACTATGCACATTGCCCTGGATTCTCTTCTCTCTGCCCCTCGCAGCTGATGGTGATGGGGACCCGACAGACAGTGAAATGAAACAGGAAACTGAAACCACACATCACACATCGGTTGGGGATGTGACGCTCACAGCCGCTAGTAGCATCCTCGTACAAATGACAAGACTGGCTAGTTGCGCCTGCCAACTGCAGAGTGCCAATTGACGTTGGGCCCTGCATTGCAGAGTGCGGACAGAAGCAGCCGCTGGGCACAGAATGCTAGGCTTTCCCAGAACACGGGCACCCATCGACCATCATTTCCCACGGCGTTGCCTGGGCATCTTGAGGCAAAAACGCTGCCTCTTCCCGTCCGTAATCAGTAGCAGAGCACCCCCAGCTGGGCCACTCGCTGGGTGGGAGATTTCCGATTTGATTTGGAGCTAGGCTAGACTCGGTGCAAGTGCAATGATGATGATGATGCTTCAGAAAGGAGGAAAACGACTGGTGTTGCATGCAGATCGATCGAGCCCCGCGTTAAACTTGCTCATTAAATTATTGTGGGGTGTGGCATTGGCATCTTCCCTTTGTTCTCTTCTAGATCAGGAACAGAGAACAAGGCCACCTCGTCGGGGTTCTGGAGCTGCGTGCATCCAGGCATCCAGCTGATCGAGTTCTAGATGCTGTGATACCTGTGCTTCCACCGAGACCGAGCCTGATTTCTCTCTGGGAGTAGACACCTGGCGATCACGATCACTCAGCTGTCTCAGGCTTAAAAGACGAGCATTATTAGCCAGTCATTAGATGCTGCATGGCAGCTGAAGATCGCATGATGCGCACCGTGTGCACATGGGATGGGCGTCGTCGGTCAGTGTATTCAGAGAAACGAAGGCCCATTCGGCCATTCCTGACGGACATTTTCGTTACTTCGCCACGGCGCCACCATCCGTTCGGCCGTAGGTTAGGCAGAGAATCTAGCGCGGTGCATCTCCTCCTCCTGTGCCGGCGAGACCGTCGCTGCCACATGCTGCCAAGCAGGCGGCGCAGTCCATCCAGACGTCGTAATAATATATAGGGAGAATTGGCTGTTGGACGGTGATGATCTTTTATGGACGGATAGCATGTTTTGAGCAGTTTGTCAGAAGACACCCTAGTTCATTGAAATTAGGTCATAGGACACCGCGGACCGGTTGCAGCCGGTTGAGGAGAGAGAAATTTTTATTTTTGGACATCCGGTGCCCCTGAGCCACAGTTGGGTCTGCCCCTCTCCCTCTCATTAACGCACGGGCCCCACTTGTCATCTTC